AAAGACAAATTGTTCTACATAAATGTTTAAGTATTATTATTACATTGCTACTTCTAGAGGAAGTTCTAACTTTGAATTGTGATTATATACTTTCCAGAAAAAAAATCCTTCATAAGCACATATATAGCTTTATTTTTCACGCTAACAATCTAACTCATGGTTGTGAAACTTTATTGCACTTGATAGAGGGCCTTGGCTTTTATTAGTTTTAAACTGCTGTTTTCTGGGGTATTTATGTAAATGAGAGAAAGATACCAAAAGCATGTCCCTGCTGTTTAAAAATCTGTTGGTAAAAACAAAATTTTGTTGTGTTGTAAGAAGACCCTGAACATGGAAATACAGCTTTGGCCTCTATGCACAAAATAGGTTTGTGGGGTATTTTTGTTTTTGTGTTTTGGATAATAGCTTTCTCCCCCAAGCATTTCTGTACCATTCTGTAAGCATTTTGTTTTATTTTTACAATTGTCACTATATATGTGATCACACACACACACATATATAAGAAAGGAAGGAGAGAGAGAAGTGCAAAATGCTACACTTTAAGATTTTTTTAATTTGACACACTGTTATAAAGATGCCAGATGGTTACAAATGGAAACAAAAGGCCACACCCAAGTTTATTGCAGTCCCCTCATAAGGAATGTTATGATGAAATGATGGTCTCATAAACTTGTAACAAAACAAGCAGACCTTCCATTGGTTGCAAAATAAACTTCAAATTAAATTAAAATTTCGGTTCATTTAAAGATTCATGCCACTGTGCTTCTCAGCCAAGGACAGAAAATACTTTGCAATGATCGAAAAACTCACAATTATCTAGGAACACTATTTCCAACGTCCCTTTACAATCTCTTTCCATTTTTTTCATTTTTAAAAATCTGAGTATCTATAGCTACATTCCTAACCCCCCCCAAAAAAATTATGTCATTTGCAACAATAGTGAAAAAATTAGAAAGACCTAAACATTCAATGAAGGGTACTGCCTATAAGACCTCTATGCAACCATGAGAAAATCATGTTACCACATCTCTATAGGATCCAGACATTTCACTTAGTAATATTTGCCCAAGAAAAAAGAAAGCATATGATCATAGAAGAACTTGCACATGAATGTCCACGGGAGCTTCCAGCCCCAAACTGAAAACAACCCAAATGTCCATCAAGAGATGGATGGAAAAGCTGAGATATACATGTATTAGACTATTACTCATTTTATTAGCTCAAAGAAACAATGAGCTAATAAAAACCCAATGATATAGAAGAATCACAAAATAATTAAGTAGAATGAAAAAAATCCAGACAAAAAAGATTTCATAGTCATTTATCCAACACTGTAGGAGACACAAAGTGGAGCCTGTTGGAGTAGAGCGAGAAGGACCATGAGGGTGACAAGGGCAGAAGGAAATCACATCCCTATGGATGGGGGAATGGTTTCCTGGGTGTATACATATACTGAAATTTATCAAATTGTATCCTTTAAATATTGTCAAAGATAAACAAGGTGACACTCTAGTTAAAGGGGTAAGGACAGATTTAATCAGTAACCCACTATTGCAATAGTGTGAGTCCAGTGTGAATCAAACTCCACTTGGATTTGTACAGAGGTTACTGGATATCCTACAGGGGGTCTGAGGGAATAGAATAGGGAGAAAGAAGCTCAGAAGAGTCAGGGATGTGAAGATAAACAAGCAGGAAGGAGGGGCTGGCTCACATGTAACCCATCTGGCTTGGCTAAGTGGTGCTTATGGAATTCAGCCTCCTACCCTCCCACAGAGACTGGGCCACAGGTGCCTTATCTTTGGGTATTGTCCTGAATAAACAGTAAATTATTTTGGCAAACTTGAGTTTTCCCAGCCAGGATCTTTAGGTGGGGGGGTGGCTCAGGTTATGTTAGCAATGCAGCCTTAAGCTTTATAAACCACGTTAGTGTTTGTTTGACTTTTCATAAGGCAAGGTTAAGGCCTAATTGGGAGGAGGACTCAGGGGAGTCTGACTGGAGTTTAGTCAAGAAGAGGGAGTCTTTGTCAATATGTGAACATTGTGAAGGTTAATAAACCTCAAAAGGCTATTTTTTAATGCATGAGGAGAATATGTTGAAACAAATGAAATATTTAGTCACTATTAAATAAACATAATTTTTTTAGACAGAGTCTCCCTACATAGCCCAGGCTGATCCAGAACTCACTATGTAGCCCAGGCTGGCCTGAAACTCATGACTGCCTCCCAACTGCTGGTATTACAGGCATGAAACACTATGCTCAGTTTAAATAAACACTTTATTGACTATGACAGAGTGAAGGGTAACTATGACTGAAATAAATTACATGTATCCATGAGAACAGCATAATGAAACCCACTAAAAACTAAAAAAAAGGGGGGAGAGGAAGTGGAAGAGGGAATATAAGAGAGTAATTGAGAGGGCAACTTCCATCAAGTACATTAAATGCATATATGGAAATATCACAACTCCTTTGTACAATTAATATACACTAATAATAAAAAGATATTTTCTATACATAAAAAGCATAATATACTTACAACTTTATAATGAACCTATTTTAATTAATGGAACAAAGTGAAACAAAAACCTAATAGGATGGGAGATGTCTGGAAAGAAAAATATATGAATGTATTATAAATTCTGCCATCCCAAAAATTAATGAACTTTGGCTAACAGCCTGAGAATGTCAACATCCTGTTCCAAGCTCCCAAAGATGTCATCAGAGGGTAATGGCATGTTCTGTAGCATGATGGGACTTGTATTCATTCTAAGTTTACCAACCTTCATCTCAATATTCTACAATTCAACCAGACCATGGCTTTTGTACCATACTTACTCAGGCAAACAGAATGCATAAATGGGTAAATGACCCTTCCCACATGCAAATATCTGGAAAGACAGAGTAACGATCATGCGGCAGTTGTAGATACTCTAAATGGTATGGAATAGATATGACATTTGCTTTACACTTAAATGTCTTAATGGGTTTTAGTTCTAGCTCTTTTGTTAACGGATAAATAATTTCTCTTCTCTGGTTATCAGTTTTCCGATACATCAAATAAGCAAGTGGAACTTATATTTAAGCTTCCTTCCAACTCTAATATTTTAAGGTTCTATGCAACCATCAAAAAAGTATCATGAGGTAGTTTCTTCTTTTAACTAGCATTATTCTTCCAATATTGGAAGAATAATGCATGAAACAATAGATGATTTTTTTTGAGGTACTAGGGTTTGAACTCAGGACCTCACACTTGCTAGGCAGGTGCTTTACCACTTTTGAGCCACTCTGCCAGCCCTGGATGAAACCATTTGGCAATTTTGTTTAGCCCCTTAATCCTTCCCACTTACTACTGAAAGTACTGTGATTTTAAATAGTTTAAAAAAATTTAAACTGGGGGTATGGCTCAAGTGATAGTAGAGCACTTGCCTAACGTGCCAGGCCCTGGGTTCAATCCCCAATATCAAAATAAAAGTATCAGTTTAAAATATCTCAATTTGGTGGAAACTTTTTTTTTCTCTTAGAAAGTAATTCTTTTGACTGAAGCCAAATATATCCTTTACACCAGGATCTGTCTTTCGTTTTGGGGGTTTTCACTGTTCTGCACTAAGCACTTAGTTACAGTTAATCAACTAAAGTAATGGAAAATTTTACTTTGAAAGCACTTTTATTTGAAATGATATAATGCATACCTTATTCACTAGAAGATCTTGGTACAATTAGATGGACTACAATGAGAATAAAAAAATTTACGTGGGTATTTTTGTTCCTGCACAAACCAGAGTGCATTTCCTTTTTTATCTTCTTTGCAGGGACAGGATAAATAGCTAGACCACTGGCTTTGAGCTTTTCTTTAAGGTATGCCTGTACCAAACAAAGAGATGGAAGATATATTTGGTAACATT